CAGATGGTCATCCAACAATAATAATAATAATAATAATAATAACAACAACAACAACAATAACAACAACTTTCTAGTATGTATGTCCAGTTGCTGATCAATTCCTGTTTGTTGTGTGCCATAGAAAAGAATAGGAAAAGGTTAAGGGAGAGGCAGTGGGCGGGGTCATGCAAATTCCACACCAAAGGAGAGAGAAAGGAACACTGGGATGCCTGTGGTGGAGGAAACACATGAAATCTAGGATGGATTGTCTCCGAATTAAAGCCTTCACTTGGGTGGTGGGCAGTGTGGTGTTTGTGGAGGACTCTTGGACATGTTCATGGTGCAATGTCGTTGGAGGGAGGGCCTTTGGTGTCTCCTGAGTAGTGGGAGCTATAGTTCTTTATGGAAGTGGGAGCTTGTCTGTGGAAGTGGACATGCAAGTCACATACATACTGAGATGTTCACTATATCAATATGTATAGATAGATACACAGGACAGAGATCGAAACACAGATGATGGCTTTGCCGTGATGATGGCTAACCTGATACTAGAAGCGATTTTCACATTGGCTTCGGGTTACATTTTGCTCAATAGCGTGTCCTACTTTGCATTCATTCTGCATGACATCGGTTCAAAACAGCCACTTGCATTCGCCATTGAAGGCGATGGGACTACAACTCCCATTCTGGCAGCCATGGGGATGACGGGGACAGCAGTTGAACATCGCAAGGGCCTATACATCAATGGAGGGAAGGAGCTTTTTTGTTCTTGTTCTTTTCTTCCCATTTGGCTCCTTTTGCTTGTTTCTAGCTGTAATATATTGATTTATGGTCTTGTCGGGATGGAGCCTTGTCTCTGTGCCCAAGGATATAATTCCAGGATCAAATGCAATTATGAGATGCGTTTCACAGCAGTATTACTGACTTCATTCAGAGGAGAAACACAGCTCAGTGTCAGGATAGGATCCTAGAGTTGGAACTCCAAAGGTCATCCAGCCCAACCCCTTCTGCCACAAAGGAAGACAGAATGGATAAATGAATGAATGAGTCATAATGTCATTGAGTTGGAAGAGATCCCAAGGGCCATCCAGTCCAACCCCTTTCAGCCAGGAAGGAAGAAATAATAATAATAACAAAACAACAACAACAACAAACCCCAAGGACCATCCAGTCCAACCCCTTTCAGCCAGGAAGGAAGATATAATAATAATAATAATAATAATAATAATAATAATAATAATTACAAACCCCAAGGGCCATCCACTCCAACCCCTTTCAGCCAAGAAGGAAAAATATAATAGTAATAATAATAATAGTAATAATAATAATAATAATAATAATAATGATAATTGCAAACCCCAAGGGCCATCCAGTCCTACCCTTCGCAAAGGAAGGAAGAAATAATAATAATAATAATAATAATAATAACAACAACAACAACAACAAACCCCAAGGGCCATCCAGTCCAACCCCTTTCAGCCAGGAAGGAAGATATAATAATAATAATAATAATAATAATAATAATAATAATAATAATAATAATAATTACAAACTCCAAGGGCCATCCACTCCAACCCCTTTCAGCCAAGAAGGAAAATATAACAACAACAACAACAACAACAACAACAACAAACCCCAAGGACCATCCAGTCCAACCCCTTTCAACTAGGAAGGAAGATATAATTCATTATTATTATTATTGTTATTATTGTATTGTCGAAGGCTTTCATGGCTGGAATCACTAGGTTCTTGTGGGTTTTTTCGGGCTATAGGGCCATGTTCTAGAGGCATTTCTCCTGACGTTTCGCCTGCATCTATGGCAAGCATCCTCAGAGGTAGTGAGGTCTGTTGGAATTAGGACAATGGGTTTATATATCTGTGGAATTGCTGGGGTGGGGCAAAGAGCTCTTCTCTGCTGGAGCTAGGTGTGAATGTTTCAACTGACCACCTTCATTAGCATTTGAAGGCCTGGCTGAGCCTGGGAAAATCTTTTGTTGAGAGGTGTTAAGATGTGCCTGGTTGTTTCCTCTCTGCTGTTTTGCTGTTGTAATTTTTAGAGTTTTTTTAATACTGGTAGCCAGATTTTGTTCATTTTCATGGTCTTCCTTTCTGTTGAAATTGTCCAGATGCTTGTGAATTTCAATGCTTTCTCTGTGTAGTCTGACATAGTGGTTGTTAGAGTGGTCCAGCATTTCTGTGTTCTCAGATAATATGCTGTGTAAACCCAATTTTCCTAATTCCAACAGACCTCACTACCTCTGAGGACGCTTGCCATAGATGCAGGCGAAACGTCAGGAGAAATGCCTCTAGAACATGGTCCTATAGCCTGAAAAAAACCCACAAGAACCTAATAATAATAATAACAATAACAAACCCCAAGGGCCACCCAGTCCAATCCCTTTCATCCAGGAAGGAAGATACAATAATAATAATAATAATAATAATAATAATAATAATAATAATTACAAACTCCAAGGGCCATCCACTCCAACCCGTTTCATCCAGAAAGGAAGAAATAATAATAATAATAATAATAATAATAATAATAATAACGACAACAAACCCCAAAGGCCATCCAGTCCAACCCCTTTCAGCTAGGAAGGAAGATATTATTTATTATTTATTATTATTATTATTATTATTATTATTATTATTATTATTAGAAACACAACAAGATGAGTCCACAGCAGACACTCTGCTGGCTGTTGTACTGGATCACACGTCGGACACTTCACAAGTCTCTAGGACTGTGTGATGTATCGTTGAATAATGCGTGCAGATCCCAGTAAGGTGGCCTTCTGCAGCTGGCAGGTGGTAATCTTGTCAGCGCCAATTGTGTTTAAGTGCAGGCCAAGGTCTTTAGGCACTGCACCCAGTGTGCCGATCACCACTGGGACCACCTTGACTGGCTTGTGCCAGAGTCTTTGCAATTATTATTATTATTATTACGAACCCCAAGGGCCATCCAGTCCAACCCCCTTCAGCCAGGAATGAAGATAGAATTTGTTGCTGCTGTTGTTGTTGCTGTTGTTGCTGTTGTTGACCTAGATTATGTGATTTTAATTCTTGTTTAATATTATGTTTCAATCGGATGGTTTGAATGTTATTGTTTATTCATTGACGTATGTGTTTGTGTGGAATTGAATTGTTGCCTTTGTGAGGTTGCCGTGAGTCCCCTTTGAGGTTGATAAAGGTGGGATAAAAGTATGGTAAATAAATAAATAATAATTAGACTCCTAAAACTGGAAGAGGCCCCGAGGGCCATCCAGTCCATGAACGAGGTTATTATTATTAATATTATAGACCCCAAGGGCCATCCAGTTCAGCCCCTTTCAGCCAGGAAAAAAGACAGGATTATTTTTATTATTATTATTGTTATTTATTAATATTATTAATATTTATATTATTATTACAAACCCCAAGGGCCATCCAGTCCAGTCCCCTTTAGCCAGGAAGGAAAACAGAATTTACTATTATTATTATTATTATTATTATTATTATTATTATTATTATTATTAGAGACCCCAAAGGCCATGCAGTCCAACCCTCTCCACCCAGGAAGGAGGACAGTATTTATTATTATTATTGACACAAAAGCACAGACCTTATTATTATTATTATTATTATTATTATTATTATTATTATTATTATAGACCCCAAGGGCCATCCAGTCCAATCCATTTTAGCCAGGAAGGAAGATATTTTTTTTAATTAATAATAATCATCATCATAATATTACTGGTGACCTTAAGGGCCTCCTACTCCAGCTTTTTTCAGCCAGGAAGATAGCTAGCTAGCTAGCTAGCTAGCTAGATAGATAGATAGATAGATCATTATTATTAGTGACCCCGAGGACCATACAGTCCAACCCCCTTCAGCCAGGAAGGAAGGTAGAATTTGTTGTTGTTGTTGTTGGCAACAAAATACACAAAAAAAGTATGTCAGGAAAAAATAATACTCAAGGAGCATAAAGTATATGATATTCAATACATAGTTCAGTGTATTCTCATAGGGTATATGATAAATAGATAGACAGATCGTTATTATTAGTGACCCCAAGGACCATCCAGTCCAACCCCCTTCAGCCAGGAAGAAAGGTAGAATTTATTGTTGTTGGTGGTGATGACCAAATACACAAAAAGAAATCTATGTCAGGAGACAATAATATTCAAGGAGCATAAAGTATATAATATTCAGTACATAGTTCAGGGTATTCTCATAGAGTATATGAGAATACACTGAACTATGTACTGAATATCATATACTTTATGCTCTTTGAGTATTATTTTTTCCTGACATAGATTTTTTTGGTGTGTATTAGGACACCCTACAAGTAGTCTGGTATAGTGTATAGTAGTAGTAGTAGTAGTAGTAGTAGTAGTAGTAGTAGTAGTAGTTATTATAGACCCCAATGGCCATCCAGTCCAACCCCCTTCAGCCAGGAAGGAAGTAAAATTATTAAATTATTATTATTATTATTACTACTACTACTACTACTACTACTACTACTACTACTACTACTACTAGTGACCCCGAGGACCATCCAGTCCAGTTCTTTTCAGCCAGGAAGGAAGATAGAATGAATTATTATTATTATGGTTACTGTTATAGTTATTGTTAATGGTGCTGCTGTAAGTTAAGAGGCTCTCCTTCCTTGCTCTCCTTCCCTTCCTTCCTTCCATCCATCTCCCTGCTGCAGGATCATCATCTCCTTGCCTGCCTTTGCAGGAGCGGGAAGTGCCTCTCCATCACCATCTCGAGCCTCTCTCTGTGTTGACCATCCAGGATGCCTGTGTCTAGATATTGCTTTGCATCCTAACCTGCTTTGCCCCTGCTTTTCCAACCCGGGACCCCTTTGCGCCCCTCCCAGCCCTATTCCTTTCCTGCCACGGCCAGAAGAGAAGGAACAAAACCTCTTTTCTTCCTCCCTCCCTCCCTCCCTCCTTCCCTCCCCTGCCCTCCCTCTGATGGCTTAGAAAGGCCAGTCCGCAATGCCTACTGATGAAGCACTTCTATTCCAGCTCCGTCTCCGAGGATTTGGGCTGCCGGCGCGGAGAGTTCAGCCGAAAGCATTATGGATCCGTGGAGCTGGTGAGTCCCTTGTTTTCCATCTTACGATACGTATATACATACAGGTATTGAAATGCATGACATTTCTGTCTTGCAGAGGTCTTGGAGGAAAACGAGACTTGCATCTCGCCACCTTCTTTCCCTCTTTGTGCTTTTTTGGGTTGTGTCTCCTTTGCAAGGATATCTCGGCAACGTAAAATACCAAAATAGCGTGTTCCGCAAGGAAAGGATGCCCGAGTCGAGTATAGGGGCGTTAGGGTTTCTCGCCCATCGTCCCTGCAGGATGGGGCAGATTGGAATTGCAACACAAAAAGGTCCAAAAAAAGAGGTCTTTTCCTAGGATTGTTGTTTTTTTGGGCCTATGTGTGCAAGAGCCTTGTTGCATGGGAAACCCAGGCTGAATTTTGTGTATTTGCAAAAAGGAGAGGTAAAGGGAATGTGTATTCTCTTCTTCCCCCCTGAATACATTGAATCTATCTAATTTTGGGTAAGTAAACAGAAGGTTTCTTCTCTTCTTCCCCCCAAATACACTGAATCTATCAGTTTCGGGTAAATAAACAGAATGTTTCTTCTCTTCTTTCCTCCAAATACATTGAATCTACCTAATTTTGGGGAAGTAAACAGAATGTTTCTTCTCTTCTTTCCCCCAAATACATTGAATCTATATATTTTGGGGAAGTAAACAGAATGTTTCTTCTCTTCTTCCCCCCCAAATACATTGAATCTATCTAATTTTGGGTAAATAAACAGAATGTTTCTTCTCTTCTTCCCCCCAAATACATTGAATCTATCAGTTTCGGGTAAATAAACAAATGTTTCTTCTCTTCTTTCCCCCAAATACATTGAATCTATATATTTTTGGGGAAGTAAACAGAATGTTTCTTCTCTTCTTCCCCCCTGAATACATTGAATCTATATATTTTGGGGAAGTAAAGGGAACGTCTATTCTCTTCTTTCCCCTGAATATATTGAATATATGTATTTCTGGGGAAGTAAAGGGAATAACTATTCTCTTCTTCTCTCCAGAATGCATTGACTATCTATCATCTATCTATCTATCTATCTATCTATCTATCTATCTATCTATCTATCTATCTATCTATCATCTATCTATCTATCTCAGGGACAGTAAATGGAACGTCTAGTCTCTTCTTCCCCCAAATATATTGAATATATGTATTTCTGGGGAAGTAAAGGGAATATCTATTCTCTTCTTCTCTCCAGAATGCATTGCATTGACTATCTATCTATCTATCTATCTATCTATCTATCTATCTATCTATCTCAGGGACAGTAAATGGAATGTCTAGTCTCTTCTTCCCCCCCGAATATATTGAATATATGTATTTCTGGGGAATTAAAGTGAACGTCTATTCTCTTCTTCTCTCTAGAATGACCATCCATCCATCCATCCATCCATCCATCTATCGGTCTGTCTCAGAGATAGTAAATGGAAGTCTAGTCTCTTCTTCCCCCAAACATATTGAATTTATGTATTTCTGGGGAAGTAAACGGAACGTCTAGTCTCTTCTCTCCCCCCCCCCCAAATACATTGTATATATGTACTTCTGGGGAAGTAAAGGGAATATCTATTCTCTTCTTCTCTCCAGAATGCATTGACTATCTATCTATCATCTATCTGTCTCAGGGACAGTAAACGGAACATCTAGTCTCTTCTTCCTCCCAAATATATTGAATATATATATAAGTAAAGGGAATGGCTATTCTCTTCTTCTCCCCAGAATACATTGACTATCTATCATCTATCTATCTATCTATCTATCTATCTATCTATCTATCTATGTCAGAGACAGTAAACTGAATGTCTAGTCTCTTCTTCCCCGCAAATATATTGAATATATGTATTTTTGGGGAAGTAAAGTGAACGTCTATTCTCTTTTTCTCTCCAGAATACATTGACTATCCATCCATCCATCCATCCATCCATCCATCCATCCATCTAGCTAGCTATCTATCTCAGGGACAGTAAACGGAACATCTAGTCTCTTCTTCCCCCCAAATATATTGAATATATGTATTTCTGGGTAAGTAAAGGGAACATTTGTTCTCTTCTTCTCCCCAGAATACATTGAATATCTATCTATCTATCTATCTATCTATCTATCTATCTATCTATCTATCTATCCATCCATCCATCCATCCATCCATCCATCCATCCATCCATCCATCGCAGGGACAGTAAATGAAATGTCTATTCTCTTCTTCCCTCCTGAATACATTGAATATACTTGTCTATCTATCTATTTCTGGGGAAGTAAATGGAATGTCTATTCTCTTCTCTCTCCTTTCCACCCCCCCCCCCCCCCCGCCCCCAATACATTGAATGTACATATCTATCTATCTATCTATTTCTGGAACAGTAAATGGAACGTCTATTCTCTTCTCCCCCCCCCCCCACCCCCCCCCCCCAAGAATACATTGAATCTATCTATTTATCTATCTATCTATTGATCGATCTATTTCTGGAGAAGTAAACGGAATGTCTATTCTTCCCTTCAGAATACTGTGAATGTATAGATGTTTGTGTGTGTGTGTGTTTGTATGTGTGTATTCATTCATTCATTCATTTCCTGAGGAAGTAAATGGAATGTATATTCTCATCTTTCCCCCTGAATATATTGAATATATATCTCTTCCTGGGGAAGTAAATGAAACGTCTTTTCTCTTCTTCCCCCTGAATATATTGAATATATATATTTCTGGGGAAGTAAATGGAACATTTATTCTCCCCCCTCCCCCGAATACATTGAATATATATCTGTATCAATTTATATATTCCTGGGGAAGTAAAAGGGATGTCTATTCTCTTCTTTTCCTCGAATACATTGTGTATGTGTGTGTTGCTGGGGAAGTAAATGGAATGTCAATTCTCTTCTTCCCCCCCAAATACATTGAATCTGTCTCTGTCTATCTATCTATCTATCTCTCTCTCTCTCTCTCTTTCTCTATTTCTAGGAAAGTAAATGGAATGTCTATTTAATTCTCCCCCATGAATACATTGAATATACATATCTGTCTATCTATTTCTGGGACAGCAAATGGAACATCTATTCTCTTCTTCCTCCCCTAAATACATTGAAGATGTATCTCTATTTCTTCCCATTGCCATCTCATGAAGGAAGGTTGTGTGCATATGTATTTATGTTTTTATTTTATTTTATTTTCAAAATATATATATATGGAATTGTAGTGTTTGACTGCCAAAGGAAGAGATTGAGAAAGAGGTGGAGAATCTCTCTCTCTCTCTCTCTTGGACTGTCACATAATGGCCAGAATGTAAAATGAGGATATTTACATTGCCGGTTGAGTCATTTCAGCCTGAATTGGGTTCATCGATTTTTGTCCCTCGTTTTGGTGCACCCGGAGGGTGGGGCCTTATTGTCCCGTCCCCCCCATAATATTGGAGTCTCCTTGTGGAGAGAAATAGCGGATGTAAATAAATATCATGATAATGAGGATGATGATAATGATGGGAAACAAGGTAAAGGATGAAACTGTGGAAATATCCGTTGTGTTCAACGGCATCCAAACGCAGCCTCCTTATATTCCCAGGCAAATTGTGTTCAGGGGTCATTTCATTACATTTTCAGTATGACGCTGAATTTTGCATTCATCACCAGTAGAGTCAGATTGAATTCTGTGGCACAATGCGTTGAACTAGGACTACCACAATGTGTTGAACTAGAACTTCCATTATGTGTTGAACTAGAACTCCCACAGTGTATTGAACTGGAACTCCCACAGTGTGCTGGACTCCCACAGTATGTTGAACTAGAACTCCCACAGTATGTTGAACTAGAACTCCCACAGTGTATTGAACTAGAACTCCCACAGTGTGTTGAACTGAAACTCCCACAGTGTATTGAACTAGAACTCCCACAGTGTGTTGAACTGGAACTCCCATAGTGTCCTGAACTCCCACAATGTGTTGAACTAGAACTCCCACAGTATGTTGAACTAGAATTCCCACAGTGTATTGAACTAGAACTCCCACAGTGTGTTGAACTGGAACTCCCACAGTGTGTTGAACTAGAAATTGCACAATGTGTTGAACTAGAACTCCCACAGTGTATTGGGCTAGAACTTCCACAGTGTGTTGAACTAGAACTCCCACAATGTGCTGAACTAGACCTGACACAATGTACTGAACTAGAATTCCCACAATGTGTTGAACTAGAACTCCCACAGTGTATTGGGCTAGAACTTCCACAATGTGTTGAACTGGAATTCCCACAATATGCTGAACTAGACCTGACACAATGTACTGAACTAGAATTCCCACAACGTGTTGAACTAGAACTCCCACAGTGTATTGGGCTAGAACTTCCACAGTGTGTTGAACTATAACTCCCACAATGTGCTGAACTAGAACTTGCACAATGTGTTGAACTAGAACTCCCACAGTGTATTGGGCTAGAACTTCCACAGTGTGTTGAACTAGAACTCCCACAGTATGTTGAACTAGAACTCCCACAGTGTGCTGAACTAGACCTGACACAGTATACTGAACTAGAATTCCCACAATGTGTTGAACTAGAACTCCCTCAGTGTATTGGGCTAGAACTTCCACAGTGTGTTGAACTAGAACTCCAACGGTTTCTTGAACTAGAACTTGCACAATGTGTTGAACTAGAACTCCCACAGAATATTGGGCTAGAACTTCCACAGTGTGTTGAAAGAAAAACTTGCAGTTTATTGAGCTAGAACTCCCACAGTGAATTGGGCTAGAACACCAACAGTGTATTGAACTAGAACTTCCACAGTGCTAGAACTCCCACAATGCACTGCTGTAGTCTAAAACATCTGGAGTCACAATGGTCCTCTCACTGTGGTTGAAAGGAAAGCTGAGGAATACAATCCTGAGGTCAGACTCCCAAGTCCCATCGTCCTTGGCTGTTGCCTTCATTTGTTGCACCTTGGATGGGAATTGTAGGCAACAGCATGTGGAAGGCACCAGACTGAGAAAGGCTGGTTCGAAAGCATCTGTAAAACCCATATAT